GGCATTTCTTTTCCCACCTTAGGCGATGATGCTAGGAAGCAGCTCGATGAACAAATGACTGCATCTGAAATTGAAGAAGCTATAAAAACAATACAAGCTGGCAAATCTCCTGGGCCAGATGGCTTCCCAGTTGAATTGTATAGAACCTTTAGCAAAAATCTTACTCCTGTTTTAAATGAATCCCTATATGATGAATCCCTAAGATCCAGTTCCTTACCTCCAACCTTAAATTAAGCTACAATATCCTTACTATTAAAACCAAATAAAGACCCATTAGAACCTTCGTCATACCGCCCAATCTCTTTATTGAATGTTGATTTTAAAATATTAGGGTCACCCTGCAGACTTTGCCCATTTTATGTGCTACATAATTAGGGCCTGAGCACGAAGTGTGCGAAGACCTATTGTTATTCGTAGAATTCTTATTATTATTCCCCGTCCGGTTCTAAGCTGTTTTTGAGGGCTTTACGACGCCATTCATGCAGTGTAATTTTGCACGGACGTCAGGACTGGCGAAAGATTTGACATTCTGGAGCCGATGGGTTAACATTTGTTTTTAATTAGCATAATGTTAAAAACAGTGCAATATTATCCTACATTTCTATTTCTTGTTTATCAACACCAATCTTGGTATACAGCATCGGTGGAGGGTCACACACATTACAGTAGGAAATGAGCATGTTCAGTTAATAAATATGGCCGCCATTAATCAAAACGTATTAGCAAAAAGGTGTGGCTTAGAAAGAAATGCTCATAACTCATCCACAATGTATCCATTCACCACAGATTTTGGTGGATAGGTTCAGTCTGTGTTGGGGAATAGGCACACCAAAGCATTGTCATTTTGGACTATAGGGGCCGCCAAAAACACCACCAATTTATAACTCGAGAACGGATGGACGACATAAAATACTCTTTTTTTTTAGACATACTCTGGGGGTGAGTATGAACTGAGATTTAAAGTGTCGCAACGAATGACGAACGTGGGCGTGGCCTATACATTTCTTTTAGACTGCGATAGCATAAAATGAGCTTCGGACGCGACACTTGGGACACACGTCACAGCCCACAAACTCTTGGCGACTGTACAAAAAAATCGTACGTTTTTGCAAAAACGGCTCAGTAGCGCCCCCTATTGTGCGGTAGTCACATATAGTTTCTTCCAGCTACCCGAATCATTGCACAGATTTTTCTCATGGAATTGCGAACATATTTCAAAATGGCTTCCATTAGCTCCGCCCCCCATAAAGTCGTCCATTTTGAAAAATGTGCAATTTTCATGCATTTTCAGCACATTTTTGCGAACTCCTCCTAGGGAAATGATCGGAAAAATTCCAGTCCAGAACAAGTTCAGCCCATATCCAATGTGATGCTAAATTGCGAAGGAATAGTCGATCGCTAAAATGGGGAGCTCGTAAGCTAACGGTGAATTTACCATTTGTGACCCATTTGTGACCATTTCAATGTCAACAATTCACTGAAATGTGCTTCTGACGCAAAACTTGGGACACACGTCACAGCCCATGACCTTTTCGAGAATGTTAAAAAAAACATAGTCTTTTGTTACAACGGCTCAGTAGCCTCATGGAATTGCGGACATATTTCTAATTAGCTTCCATTAGCCCCGCCCCCGAGAAAGTCGGCCATTTAAAAAAATGTGCATTTCTCATGTATTTTAAGGACATTTTTGCGAATTCCTCCTAGGTGAATGATCGGAAAAATTCCAATCCAGGACAAGTTCAGCCCATATCCAATGTGATGCTAAATTGCGAAGAGCGAATACACCATTTTTGATGATTTACATGTCGCAAATTACTCCAAACTACTCGCATATAGTTTTTCCGATATTCACGAAACGCTGTATATACATTGCTCTCATGATTTCACACATATTTTAGTGGGAATGCTGATACAGCATTCCAACTATATGTTATGCTACGGACGAAAAGTTTACTATTATTCCATCCAATTATTTTGTCCGTCTTCTCCTCCCACATTCAACATCGCAGAAACTCCGTTCAAACATCAAAACGTTCAGCTCCGTCGGGAATCGATGGCTATTACTTTTATCATTCATAACTTTCATAATTCCAGAGATACATCCCATAATACATCACATTTTTAACCATTGAAGTCAATGGAGAAATTCTTCAGACTTCAACAAATCTTCATGCGACTTCAACTGCTAACTGTTCATTCATACTTTCACTCAGAAACCTCATTCCAACTTTAAAATGTTACACATCTTTCTGACATTATTCGTGTAACACAACTTTTAAATCTGATTCTTACTTTTAGAGATATTAAACATTGTTCAGACCTTGTTAAAGAGGTTTTCTTCAGATTTTAACATTAACTAGAGTGCGTGATGTCACAGCTAGAGGGTAAGAAATCTTGAAATGTGCCTTCATATTTTTTTTTTAAACTGCCATAATTCCCAAACCCTACATTCTTGAGACATAATTTTTCATGATAAACGTAGGAAAACATCTCGTAGCTTGAAAAATGATAAATAATTAAGCAAAATAATTCAACAAAATGCCTCTTGAGGGCATGAAGTGACAAAAACGTTAAACATGTCTCCATTAAAGCCCATTGTAATTTCAGGCAGATATTTCCTCACAGCAGCAGCCGCACACCTTTCTTAAACTGCCAAAAAGGCCACATTATTAACCCGAAAGTACACAAAAATTACACTTCAGATACTCAACTTCCTTGACATGCTTCACGTTTTGAAATTTCACAGATATCTGTTATCGTTCTTCCACAAAACGTTCATCTCTCATTCAGAACAATGAAACCTTTGAAGTCTAGGCACCTCGTTAGCTCAACTATAAACACCTGTGTAATGGAACACGATGATGTCATCACTCCAACTGTTCATTTCATACTCACACACACACTCTCTCTCTCTCTCACAAACTCTCTCTTTGTTCAAAAAGTGCTCAAAATTCACATGTGTGCTAACAGTCCAGCCGTGAAGACATCTACGAGACAGTTTTGAGATTTCTTCAAATGCCGTTGCCATGGCAACACAATGCTCGCCATGAAGCACGATGTCGCTGTAAGTCCAATGGACACGGTCCGATCGTCCCCCAATCTTCACTTGTATATCACCGGTCCATGCCTCAACAGCTCTACGCCAAATCTGAGATCTCACCATATGCCGTTTCCATGGAAACGCATCCCTCGCCATAAAAGACGATGTCGCTATAACTCCTATGAAAATGTTCAAAAAGTGCTCAAACTTCACATGTGTGCTAACAGTCCAGCCGTGAAGACATCTACAGGACAGTTTTGAGATTTCTTCAAATGCCGTTGGCATGGCGACAGATCATTCACATCAAGTTAGTTCAAAGGTTTGCAGTTCAAATATTCTGCTGCTTTTCCAAGCCTTTTTACTTTCTTTTCTTCTCTCATCACACATTCAAGCCCCCAGTGTTCATGTATCATTTCAATCTAAATTCTTCACTTTCTTCTTACACATTACTTTTCAGCATAAAGCATTCCCACTAGCAATTTCTTCAGGAATTGCATTCTCTAGTTCCAATTGCTTTTCATTAGCCCTGCCCCCCAGAAAGTTGGCAATTTTGAAAGATGGGCGTTTTTCATGCATTTTAAGCACATTTTTCCACATTCCTCTTAGGGAAATGATCGGAAAAATTCCACACCAGGACAAATTGCCAATGCCATGCTAAATTGGGAATAAAGTAGTTGCTAGCTCATTCGGGGAGGTCGTAAGCTAACAGAGAATATACCATTTTTTACGGTTTACATGTCGCAAATTCCTCCAAGCTACTCGCATATGGTTGTTCCAATATGCACGAAACGTTGTATACACATTGTTCTTATGATTGCGGACATCTTTCAAATTGCCTTCCATTTGCGCCGCCCCACAGAAAGTCGGCCATTTTGAAAGAATGTGCAGTTCTCATGCATTTTCTGCACATTTTTGCAAACTCGTCCTAGAGAAATGGCCGGAAAAATTCCATTCCAGGACAAGTTCAGCCCATATCCAATGCGATGCTACATTGGGAAGGAATAGTCAGTTGCTCGAACGGGGAGCTCACAGGCCAGAATGTACCATTTTCCACCATTTAGATGTCAGATAAGCAACTCTGTCTTCCACATCATCTCTCTCTAACACACACACACACACACACACACACGCACACAGCTGGCAATGATGTTGAGTGTTAGTCCAGAAGCTCCCTCTGCTGGCGGCACATGCAATTACAACACACACATAAAGCTCTTAAAGCATATCATCAGGCTTCACAAATAGCACTATTTGGTTTCATGAAAAATATCAACTGTTTATTTGTAGATATCTACTAAAGCATACAAATAAAGTGTGTAATGTAGGCCTGTTACTTATATTATTGAGTGATATATATTATACACACTGTTCTGCTTTCTGCACTGGCCTCAGCAGCTGTTGTCACTGTAAATGTCGGCTCACAATTAAAGCAATTTAAAAACATACATAGCCTAATATCCAGAGGAGATGCGTTTATTGAGTAAACAAACGGTAAAGGGCAGAAATTCTGCACAACCCACTGCACCACACGCCACGGTTACTGCTCCTCCAGACAGCCTCCGCGATAAACGATCCTCGACGAGCCTTTAGAGAAATTTATTTTCCTTCGAGGTGGCGCGCCCACATCCGTTTCCGGGTCGCTGCCGGAGGACCGAGGAGTCCGGGACGTGAACATTTGACAAATTAAGAACGGCTCATTTCGGAGGACTCGCGCGCGTCTGCTTGACGTCGGGACGACCGGCGACCCTTCCCGACAGGCGCACGGACGCGAAGGCCCGCCCACAACTGTGACCGCAGTTTTAATTATGGTTGCAAGACAATCAGAGCTAAATATATATTATTTTCTATAGAAAGGTTCATAGAAATAATAAAATTTGTTAAAGATGGAGTGTCTACTGGCAGTCCTTTGCCTCATGTGTAAATATTTCTTGCAGTGGATTTATAAGGTGCACTGACTCACCCTGCGCTGGGGGGGGGAGAGTCCCTCCATGCTGTCCCCGAGGTGCCCCTCCCCCTCAGTGTAACTCCTCCGCTCCAAGCCTCTCCTCCACAGAGGGACCAGGGTCTCACTGCTCATGTCTGAAACATAAATCACAAACAAGAGGTTTGGCATACAAGTGTGTAAAACGTTTTCAAATTGTACTTGAGTATAGTACTTGAGTAAATCTACTTAGTTACTTTACATCACTAATTATGAAGTAGTGTGTTGCATCTGACTCCTCAGCAGTGTGAGTGTTCACATGTTGGGGCCTCGTGCAGAGGGGGGTGAGGCTGTTTGATCAAATCAAATCAAGTTTTATTTATAAAGCACATTTAAAAGCAATTTTTGGTCGAGCCAAAACACAGTACATGTAATAAAAACACATTACTACAATCACAATAAAAGACAATAAATTACAACAGATATATATAAAAAAACACAGGGAAAAGTCAGGAGTCGTGCTCCGCTCTAACTAGAAGGCCAGAGAGAAGAAGTGTGTTTTTAGTGTAGATTAAAAAAAAACTAGGGTCTGGGCCGACCTCACATGGAGGGGCAGAGTGTTCCAGAGCCTAGGGCCAGCTGCTGCGAAGGCTCGGTGCCCTCGGGTTTTAAGCCTGGTCTTGGGCACTACCAGCAGCAGCTGGTCAGCAGACCTTAAAGCTATGGCTGGGGTGTAGCGCTGGAGGAGTTCAGCTATATAGGCCGGAGCCAGCCCATTTAGTGCTTTAAAAACAAATAAAAGGATTTTAAAATCAATTCTGAACCGAACTGGAAGCCAGTGTAGTGAGGCCAGAATTGGGGTGATGTGGTCACGCTTTTTGTGGCCAGTCAGCAAACGTGCAGCTGCGTTTTGGACTAGCTGCAGGCGTTTAATTGAGGCCTGGTCCATACCCACATACAGAGTGTTGCAATAGTCCAGTCTCGAGGTAACAAAGGCGTTAATAACCCTTTCTAAGTCATTAAAAGATAAAAACGACTTGGTTTTGGCCAATAGTCTTATTTAAAAAAAGCAGGATTTGACTACGGTGCTGACCTGCTTGTCGAATTTAAAAGTGCTAGTGGAGGTCACTCCAAGGTTCATGACAGAGGGGAGGATGTTTTTATTGAGAGAGCCCAGAATATCAACCGGAGAGGCTGGAGGTTGGGGTCCAAAAAAGATGACCTCAGTCTTGCTCTCGTTGAGGTTGAGAAAGTTTTTGCTCAGCCAGGATTTTATCTCTGTTAAGCAGTCCATCAACTGCTGTAGTGAGTGTTTGACATTTGCTTTGAGAGGCAGATATATCTGTACATCGTTCCAGCAGTGGAAGGGAATATTGTGTTTAGTGAGAATTGAACCTAGGGGCAGTATGTACAGTAGAAAAAGGATGGGGCCCAGAATCGAGCCTTGGGGAACCCCACAGGTAAGAGGGGCTTTGGCAGAGGAGAATGCACCTAGCTGTACTGAGAAGCTACGGTCTGTCAGGTAGGACCTGAACCATGCAAGGGCAGAGCCTGTGGTGCCAGCGGACTGTTCAAGCCGTGACAACAGGATGCTATGGTCCACAGTGTCAAAGGCAGCTGTCAGGTCTAACAGCACCAAGACAGCTGGGCTACCTGAGTCGGCGGCCAGGAGCAGGTCATTAAAAACTCTTAAAAGGGCTGTTTCAGTGCTGTGCATGGGTTTGAAGCCAGACTGAAACTTTTCATGGATTCCATGCATGGTTAAAAAAGACTGCAGCTGGGCGTAGACTACTCGCTCCAGGGCTTTAGATAAAAAAGGTAGCTGGGAGATGGGCCTAAAATTGGCGAGAATGGAGGGGTCGAGATTTTTCTTTTTAAGTAGTGGCTTAACCACGGCATGTTTGAAGGCAGCTGGGACACATCCTGAGCTAAGAGAGGTGTTTATAAGTAATAAAATACTTGCACCAACTGATTCTAAAACATCTCTAAGAAGGCGAGAGGGAATGCTGTCTGAGGTGCAGTTTGTCGGCCGCAAGTGCATGACTACATCCGAGAGAGAAGAGAGGGATACAGGCTCAAAGTGGTCGAGGACAGCAGGGCACAGAAAAGGAGCAGGAGCTGGGGTAGCACTAGTGTGGGCTAGCCTAAGAGCAGATACTTTTTCAATAAAAAAATTAAGAACCTTATCACAGAGCATCTCACCTGCCGGCTCGCAGTTTTTGTTGATTTGGGCATATTTCCTGGACAGGCTACTTTGTACAGACAAAGTTAATAATAACTGTAATATTCCAGTTATAAACGACATGAATCAAAGATGTGTTGCTGTATTTTAGTGGTAAAAAAATGCATTCATCATCATAATTATTCTATATATATAATTTACACAGTGCCTGTAAACCGGAGGAGAACGCTGGCATTTCTCCTCCTACTTGAAAGACTACGGAGGGATAGGGTCTGCAAAATTAGTTTGTGTGTGTGTATATATAGCTCTGAACGTTCCACTTCCTGCCTGCCCGACCTTACGTTACGGCTGCGCCGCGACAAAAATAGGATTCGATCCTAATTTTAGAGGAGCCCTGCGCTGAGCCGCTTCTGGGCCGCTTCTGGGCCGCTTCTGAGCCGTAACGCGCCGCGTGTGGTGGAATAGCACCCATTGACTAGAGTGGCCGTGAGCACCGCGGCGCAGCCGTAACGCGCCCGTAACGCGCCACAGACGGACCCGGTGGAATCTAGGGGTGAGGCCCAATCCCAAACCGCCCCCTACACCCTACCCCTACACACTACCCCTCCGTTCGCGCGGAGGGTCCGCCACATTAAGTGCTGTTCCAAACCAATGAGTGTGGAGGGGGAGTGGGTTAACAAGCCCTCAAACAGCGAGTCTGCAGCAGTGCTGACTGGAGACCGGTCTCTACCTGACCGGAGTCACGCTGTGTGTGTCCGTCAGGAAACACGCTGTTTACAAACAGTTCTTCTTCTTCTTCTTCTTCTTCTTCGTCTCTCATTTTTGGCGGATTGCAAACAACTTAAAAGGTGCATACCGCCACCTACTGTACATGAGTATGAATCATCATATCATTCCAACTCTTTAACCTATGATCTAATAAAAATAAATCAAAAATAAATAAATAAATCAACAAAAACATTAAATAAATAAAACAAAAATAAAAATATATGTTCTTTCCTGACCTAATGTTACATTATTTTTCCTACCCCAGTTTCACTCAAGAATGTAAACAGTGCCTTTCTGGTAGCTCTTACTCCCTCTCCTTTTGTTCCCAAAACACCAACCACACTCCATTCCCTCTCTGCCTCTAAAACTTTAGCCTTTAGTTTTTCTCTTTCCGCTTTATAGATGTCACAATGTAACAAGATGTGTTCTACATCTTCTTTAACTCCACAGTTCCCACACTTGTCACTGTCACTTTTCCCCATGATATACAGCATACCATTCAAAGCCGTGTGATTTATTCTGAGTCTAGCGATCGTGATTTCCTCCCTTCTGTTTCTTTCTTTATAAATATGAATTGTAATTGTCTTTTGCACTTTGTGATACTCTTTGCCTTTCTGGTCTTTCTCCCACCTTTTCTGCCAGATCTCCATCCCTTTCTTCTTAATTACTGCTTTTCCTTCTCCTTTTCCAAGTTGAACTGGTAATGTGATTTCCTTTTGTAGTGCACTTTTTGCTAATTTATCAGCACACTCGTTCCCTTTCACCCCCTCATGTGCAGGCACCCAGCAGAACTGCAGATCTATACCGCCTCTGTGCAGTCTTAACAGGCTGTGATTCAGTTCTATGAGAATGTCTTCTCTGGCAGTTGTTGTTTTTACAAGTAGTTCCAGCAAACATCCACTGATAAACTGCGATGTTAACAACCTCATGATAACCTCATATGTTTTTAACTTAGGATCATACCTGTGTTTAGTCTAGAAAAAGGTAAATGTGTGCATTTTATTATAAAGTTGTGTATATTTACAGATTGTTGCAAAAGCTTATAAACATCAGGTTTAAAACTAAAAGAGCTTTACAGAAAAAGTAACACAATTAAAGATGTTTGGAGTTTTATTTGAGTTCTTAATTTAAATTGTTTGTCTAAGAGATGCTGATTTGAAACCGTTGTTACATACAGTTACGGCATTTCCTGTTTCTGCCGGAGAGAGGGGAGGCCGTCCCAATGCGGTGCGGTGTATTTATACCCTTAACCCTTAATGGAGGGAACTTCATTCAGCTGCGAGTGTGGCTACAGACGGAGTTCACTCCGTCACTGAGGGGTAGGGTCGAGGGAGTGGTTTGGGATTGGGCCAGAGAGTGAGAGCATGTGAGCAGGGATGCTAGTACTTACGTGTGTGCCATGTCTCAACGACTCACAAAGTCAGGCTTTCAAAAAGAAAAGAAAGGAGAGAAAGAAAAGAGAGAGGGACTAAAGGGCGACAGTTAGTGATGGCAAAATGAAGCTTTGAATGAAGCATCGAACCACTTGGACAATTGTGTCGGAAATAGGTTCATTTCTCGAAGCTTCAGTTACAGCGACCTCTCCTGGCGAAGTGCAAGGCTGCAGTGGGTTTAACGTATCTTTGCCTTGAAAAATATTCGATGCACACACACTAAGACTGAATATCATGTTCTATTTGCAATTAAAGATTGATAATTGTGTGTATTGGGTTATTGAGAAGAGACTAGAGAGTAGGGGTGGGCGGATCGATCCCAACATATCGATACTTCCGATATTACGTTACGTTTCAAAATATCGATACTAGAGCCAATAGGATCGATACTTTTATACTTTTTTTTTTCCTCTCAACTCGTCAATTTCATCAAAAACGATGTGCAAACGAACACAAGTATATGCGCTCTTTTCTTCTCTCCACTGCTGTCCTCCTCTCCTCGAGGCTCGCGCAGCGCGCTCCCTGCCTGAACGCCGATTATCAAGCTGACTGACAGCAGCCAGCAGGGCAGGACAGCAGCAGCCAGCGACTCGCGAGTGCGACACACACACACGTATTATGGCTGAGAGAAAGAGGAGCGTTGTGTGGAGCTATTTCACAACTGTCAATGAAAACTTAGCGAACTGTGATGTGTGCAAGAAGGCAGTTCGCTACTGTGGCCACTTTGTATTGTTATTTTTTCATGTTTGCACTTTAAATTTGCAAAAATAAAACG